ATCAATCCACTCTGGCTTCAAACCCTGACTCTCAGCACCCATCTTTCAATTTAACGAAAACTGCTGGAAACCTGGGAGTTGGCAAGACAGCAAAGCTTCGCATTCACTCTCTAACCTGTCACTTGGCTTCTCTGAGCCATGAGTCCTCGGCTATGAAATGGGGGACAAAACCCAGGAGGGAGGGCTGTTATGAAAATGAGCTGAGCTGCCCCTAAAATCACATCCAAATACTGGAGCGGGATGGGTAGGAGACAGTCACCAAATGGCACTCAAAATAGAAAAGCAGGAGACAAACAACCTTTCCTCAAGTGACTCAAGCACTTTTCCTCAGATCATTCAAACACTCAGGCGTGCACCACACACACCACCACCCCCACACTCTGCGACTTTCAGCAACTTCAAGAAAACGGAAGTTGACTACCACTAGTTTTGAGAGACCTTAGAGACCGTTTGAAAACCATGGCTCTGACTGCAAACGGAAGAAGGGGAAACTGTAAATGAGAAAGGAAGCCCTTAAAAACGAAAACTACCTCTGCTTCTCCTGCTAGCCCTAAACCACTGCCTCTGTTTTCTTGTTTCGCTGTGTTCTTCTAAGGCCTTCAACACCAGCTGCCCGTCAAAAGACCTCCAGCCCCTTCCCTGGCGCAGACAAGGCCTCACTGCGGCTCCCACAGCAGCAGCCACATCCCCAAACACAGATGTGCCTACCAGGAAACCCATGGCCAGTCCTTTATCTGCCAAATCTTCCTAGCCCTGGCCCCCCAGCACCTGGAAATGGAGGAGGTTGAGGGCATGAGGCCTCTCAGAACCTCTGAGGACAGCCACCTGGCTACCAAGGCTCAACAGAGGCTCCAGCTCAGGACAGGCCCATAGTCCAGCAGACTGTCTTAGGAGGGGAGAGAACCAGCCGCAGGCCTGCCAACATCCAGCTCCTTAAAAGGCTAGGTGGTTCAGAGTCAGCAAAACCTCTAACTTCACAGCACTGAACCGAATCTGGAAAGGGGGTTTGTGACACTGAATTCCAAGGACAGAGAAAGGACAACAACCTTACTGCCTCTGAGCAGGACCCACAGCTGCAGAACTGAACACCACCATGGCAGGATAGGCACTGCAGACAAACATTTGGGAGAAGGGACCACTGACAGAAGGGGAGAGGGGCCTGGCTAAGGCTACAAGGTACAACGACATGGGACTTTCCAGGGGGTGGGAAAGCCTGGGGGAAGGTCCCCAGTTAGAGGGCAAACCAGGCACCTCCCCCTCTGATAGCAGACCCCACTCCCAGGGGAAGTGGCAGCTGTGGCCCAACCTAAGGGATGTAGTACTTCAGAACAGTCTAGGGACACTTGGTCAAGGACTGGGGAGGAGACTCACATGATCCATTCTCCTGGACTTGTCACAGGTTTAAAGGAAAAGAACAGTGGACAGATTTCAAATAACCCGTGCATAAACAAAAGGAGCAAGTTAATATCACAGGTGATTTGGGTTCAAATCTTACCTTTCCAACTGAAATCTCTGTGGCCTAGACCAAGGACTTAACCCCAGGGAGCCCGTTTTCTCCTCTGGGAAATGGCTTACAGATGGGGGTCATTCTAAGGTAGCACTTCCTAGAAGAATCCATAAACCCACTGTTCAAAGGAAATTCCTGGTCTGGCAACGGTAGGAGGGCTTATCCCCAACAAGCCATGGTATGCAAATCAGGGAAGAGGAAGACATCTCTGGCTCACCAGAGCGTCCAGGCCTTTCACCTCACCTCTTGCTACAAGAATGGCACAGCACCCAACAATTGGTGCACCTCACCTGACTGCTCTCAGCTCCAGCTGAGCAGTTCCTTCTACCTTCCCTTCCATTCTGCAGGTCTGACTAGCTCACATTGGGTGCTTGAGATCTCCACACAGCAGTACTTCCTCCAGGAAGCTTCTCCATGCCTCCTTCTATATCATCCCCTGGTTATCTTAAGACAGCATCTGAGCCCCCTGGAAAAAATGCCAATTTCTCAGGATCTAGCATAAGGCAAGGTTCAGAGCTAAAGGTACTTGCTGGATTTAAAAAAAAAAAAAAAAAAACTGAAGGCAGTGGGGGAAGCTAACAGTCAAAGATCCTTTAAAAGGTCATCCTCTTGGGCTGGGGATATAGCTCATTTGTAAAGTGCTTGCCTTGCATGCACAAGGCCCTGGGTTTGATCCCTAGCACCAAAAAAAAAGAAAAGAAAAGTCATCCTCTAATGGAAAGAAACAGTGTATGATCCAACAAAAGCAAACCACCAAAACGATGAAAGTAATCAAAATACACGTAACACACTGCCACTCACAAATTTAACAGAGGAGATAAGCCCATATAATACCCAATGCTCAAGCAATAAAGCTGGGTTTCTCTCTATCAGCACTATTGACATCTGGGGCTGAAGTGGTTTCTGTGGTGAGGGGACTGTCATGTGTACTCTATGACATTGAGCAGCATCCCTGGCCTCCACACATACCCACTAGATGCTGGTAGCATTCCCTCTTCCAGTTGTAACAACCAAAAAGGTCTCCAGACATTATCAAATGTTTCCTGCCCAGTTGAAGGGCATAAACTGCAATATATATCCCAAACCAAACAGTAATCTACAGAGCTATTGGTTCAGGTACACTTACTGGGCCTTATATTCTGCTATGGGAATCTACAAATATCCATGCTTAATCCCCAGAACCACCTATGAGAAAAGTTCTCGTGTTAACCCCACTTAAATGAGGAGGAGGCACAGATCACTTAGTAACTTGCCAGAGGTCCCACCAATTAGAAAAGCACAGCCAGGACTGGCACCTAGGTCTGACAATCCATACTTGCCTTCACTACCTCTTCATGATCCTAATCCCAAAATTAGAGTCACTGAACATAGACAAAATGACACTCAGGGTTGGGGTGGTGGCTCAGTGGCAGAGCACTTGCCTAGCATGTGTGAGGCACTGGGTTCGAATCTCAGCACCACATCTAAATAAATGAATAAAATAAAGGTCCATCAACAACTTAAAAAAAAAAAAGGAACTGCCTTCAGGATCATTTTAAAAAAAAATGATACTCAATAGGCAAAAGTTTTATTCTGCTCAGTGGCAAAACACCTCCCTAGCATGTGCAGGGCCCTGGGTTCAATCCCCAGCACCACAAACAAACAAGAGAAACAGAGCACACAGCATTTTAACAGCAAAAGCCAACGCCAACCGCCATTCCAACACCAGTAAGTGGATGCGGCAGGGTGTGGTGAGCGTTTCCATGTGTGCAGTACATGTTAATACAGGGGTATGTATACAAACCACTCCAAATGTGCTCTTCGGGCAATCTCAAATCTCTGGGGCATTTGCCCTGGTGCTGAGTTAGAACCTTGCCCTCAGGCTAGAAGTGACCCCACTGCAGGTTTCTTTACAACGCTGAACCTAGTATCACATCTGTCAGAAAATGCAGCTTCCTTTCCAGAAACATCTTCTTACTTTTTAGGCGGGTTAACAGAAACGCCTGCATCCTCAGTGCAGACAAGGGTGTCTGTGTATAAGGGAGCAAGACCCTAACCAGAGGTCACACTCAAAGCCCTGGACAGGCATCCCAGCCATGCCACTCTGTCCCTCTGCCCCTCAACGCTTCTTCACTCAACCACACAGAGGACTCAGGTTCCTCCAATGTTCCCACCTTTACATATTTGCAGGTGCTGTTCCTTCCACTCGGAAGGCTCTTCTTTCCACTTTCCATCTGTCAACTCCTACTCATCCTTCCTAGACAGAAAAAGCCACCTGTCTGGCCAGTCTCACCAGTCTCTCCCACTCTGTGGCCTCCTGCAGCAGTGCCCTGAGTTACCTCATCACAAGACAGTAATTGTGACTGTCCAGTGGTGCCTTTGTCTCCCCAGGGGGCAGCTCCCCCACTCTGGGCCCAGCCCCAAGTTCCCAAGCCTGGCCTCAGCAGGCCTCGCAGCACAGAAGCAGGCCAGATCTCCCCAGCCTTCTGCCCCAGGCAGCCAGACACCAGGACAGGAGCCTCGCTCAGGTGAAGGGAAGCCACTATTCTGGGAGTCAGGAGGCCAAGGAATCCAAGAAGGCTGGCAAGAGGAAAGGGCAAGTGTGTGGGAAGAAAGGAGGATCTGAGGAGGAAAAGAAGTAGCACCCAAGGGGAGTAAGACTGAGGGGATGGGCAGTGGCAGAGGAGCCCAAGGAGGCTGAACTCAGGGGGTGGGGAGGTAATGAGAGTCCCAGCAGAAGGGACCCTGATGTTAGCTGGGGGAAGAGGGTGGGCCAGGGCCCAGGCAAGAACCTTAAGATCATAGGGGCTCCCAAAGGAAAAAAGTAAGGGGATGGGAGTGGGCAGGGGACATGAGACTAAGGAACTTGGGACACTGAGAGGAGGCGGGCGGGTTAAGGGTGCGACGCAATTCAGGGGAAGAGACAGAGACTCGGGGAGAGGCGGGTGTGCAGAAAGTTAGAGACAGACACACACTGGCTGAGGAAAGAGAGACTCGGGAGTGAAGGGGAAGGGACAGAGACTGGGGGACAGAGGGGAAGACAGAGACTCAGGAGTGAAGGGTAAAGGACAGAGACTGGGGGACAGAGGGGAAGACAGAGACTTAGGAGTGAAGGGGAAGGGACAGAGACTGGGGGACTGGGGAAGACAGAGACTCAGGAGTGAAGGGGAAGGGACAGAGACTGGGGGACTGGGGAAGACAGAGACTTAGGAGTGAAGGGGAAGGGACAGAGACTCAGGGGGCAAGGAGGAGACAGCGCGAGGGCGCGCGCGTGTGTCCCTTCCCGGCAAGGGCCGGGAAGGGACTGAGCCTAAGGCAGAGAGGAGGCAACGGGAAGGACTCAGACTCGCGCCAAAGGAAGGGAGAGGAAGGGACGTGAATGGACAAGAAGCGACGGGGACTCGGGACGAGGTAAGGGACGGGAAGGAACCGAGACTCAGGCACAGAGGAAGGGGCGGAAAGGACAGCAGGGCGACAGCAGCGGAAGAGCGGCCGGGAGCGGCGCCGGGCTCACCTGCGCGGCGGGGCGGCGGCTCCTCGCACTCGGGGCTCATCGGGGCGCACCCCCTCGCCCCGCCGCCGGCGGCTCGGCCCCGCCGCGGGCCCGGACCGTGGGGCGGGGGCGGCGGCTCGCGCAGGCGCCGCGACGGGCTCGGGGCGCGCACGCGCCCTCGGTCAGGCCGCGCGGGGCCGCGTCGAACTTTGGGACCACGGCGAGGGCGGCGACGGGTGGCGAGGCCCGCGAGGCGCCTCCGCGAGCAGGGACGGGGAATTCGGCTGGGTTCCCGGCCGAGCCGGCGCCCGCGAGAGGAGAATACGTCCTCCTCCGCAGCCCGAGTAGACCGCAGAGCTGCACAGCGGCCAACGGAGGCCGACGCCCGCTTCCTCAGCCGACGCCTCCCCTGAAGCGGCTGGGTCTCGGGCCGCAGTCCGCCTAAGCACCTCCGACGCCCGGCTCGCTCCGCCACTATCCCATAATGCCCCGAGCGCGAGCGGCTGCGGAAGCCCCGCCCTCCCGCCGCCGCCTCGCTGCGCAGGTGCGCTGGAGCTACTCTCCTGATGCACGCAGTGCGCATGCGCTTGTCCGGACGTCCGACCCCGCCCTCCGGGTACTCAGCCTCCGCCTGTGCGCCTGCGCTGGGCGTGTTCTCGTTCTGTGTGAATAAGCGCAGAAGGCCAGTGTGCAGGCCCCGCCGTCGCCCGGGACCTTAGCACCGCCCTGCCGGGAAGCCACTAAGCCCAGTGATCTTGCTACTCCATGGCGTCTCTCCCCGATCGGTCTTCCATCCGCGGTGCCGCTCCTCGCGGCCCAGTTCTGCTTGGGCTGTAGGGTCGGGTCCCGAAGCGTTCATCCCGGCGTGACCCTACCCTACTCCCCCTGGCCCCGCTTCTCTGGCGCCGCCTTCTCTGTGGCTGTGGCTGACTTCTGTCCTGCTCCTGGGCCGTGGCCACTTCTCTAGCCCAGAGCTGCACAGGGTCCTCCCACACACACCTTGTGTTCACGCAGGTCCATCTGGCTCTGTGCCTCAGCTCCCCCGACTTCATAACTCCCTCCCTGCCCATCTTAGAGGCCTCGTGTGCGGGTTAGAAGTGCGTTAAAGAACATAATTTGCTTTTAAACCTGCAGATGGATGTTTTTTCATTTTAGGGACATTTTGTTGAATCATGTATCTGAGTATGTTCTTTTCTGTATTTCAAGAAGGCCAGTTATACATGCACATCTGCCAACTTCTAATGGCTTTAATCTTTGTCGTATCCCCCAGCATCCACTGATTAACACCTGTCAGTAATTTGATTTTTTCAGCCATGTCTTTTCTGGTCCCTGCTAGAAATATCTAGTGTGTATGTTATGCTCAGTTTTGCTTGGTCCTTGTATTTGGCAGCTTGTTCTGCAGGACAGATTATCTCAATGGCATGGCATGTGCCATGTGCCATGTTCACAGCTTGAACATATGCAGGCTGGCAAGACTGTACTCCCCATGTCTCATCGCTCAGATGCCAGAGAGCCTGGGCCCAGCTGCATTAGTGTATTTTAAGTCCACCGTCTCACATCAGCCACCATCTTTTGGTTAAAGGAAGCCACATGGTCAAGTCCATCATGGTGGCAGGAGGTGCATATGCTGTACCCACCATGGGACAGGAAAGTCCTCTTGTCTCATCGATGTGGAATGGAAGGGAGAGAACATTCACTGCACAATGTAGTTTACCACAATTCTCAATTTGTTTCCCCGGGTTTGCCAATCCTCATTTTTCATCTTTGACATCTCATTTTAAAGTAGTCTCAGGTTCCTGACATAAACCTTGCAGCAATTATGAGCATATTAGGGTTCTCCAGAGAATCAGAACCAATAGGATGCTTATCAATATATAAAAGCAGCCGAGTGCAGTGGCACATGCCTATAATCCCTGCAGCTTGGGAAGCTGAGGCACAAGGATCACAAGTTCAAAGCCAGCCTCAGCAACTTATCTAACCTAATCTAAATAAAGTGCAAAAAAGGGCTGGGGATGTGGCTCAGTGGTTAAGTGCCCCTGAGTTCAATCCCCAGTACCAAAAAATATACATATAGAAAGTGATTTATATGGGCTGGGGTTGTGGCTCAATGCACTTGCCTAGCATGTGCAAGGTCCCAAGTTTGATCCCTGGCATCACATGCACAAAACGTGGTTATGAGAGATTGACCTACATGATTTTGGAGGCGGCCCAGGAATGCTGGAGGTATGGTACCAGACCAAGTCTGAAGACTGGAAAATCAGGGGAGCCAATAGTCTAAGTCCCAGTCTGAGTCCAAAACCGGCCAGCATGATGTCCAAAGGCATTAGACAGATGGTCCAGCTGACAGTAAATGGATTATGTGATGTCCCCTCACACTGGTGAGAAGTCTTCTTTACTTAGTTTACTGTTCAAACACTAATGTCTTCCAGAAACACCCTCTAAGTCACATCCAGAAATTGTTATATGAGCTGGGAATCCCGTAGCCCAGTCACGTTGGCATTTAAAGTCAACAATCACAGGGAGGCATTCCTGCTGCTGCTTTTCTTCTATGTTGGCATCCTGTCTTTGACCCAGCAACCCAGAATTTGGCTCCTTTTTTCCCCCCACAATATGGCATAGTTGTCACACTGTTTCAACACAGTGTCAGGAACTGACGGGCAGGAGAACCATCATATTCAACCACCAAGTAGATGGTGAGAAGCACACAGTCCTCAAGAATCTCAAGAGCTGCAACGGCTAGGGACTGAATCTGTCTCTACCTGGGCAGAAATCACAGATGATGCTGTTGTGGTAATAGGATTGGAACATCTTCGAGTGCACGGTGGGCACACTCGTTTCCCACAGTTCACATATCCACACAAAGGAACTTACTTAGTATCTCTGACCTCTCCACCCCTTTGGAGGATGCGGAATGATTCACCTGATCCCATGGGCATCGTTGCTCAGCCCTGGGCTCCTCCCACATGCAGCCAGTTTGCCCACAGCACAGCACGCTGTGCTCTGGCCTGGTCCTGATCACCCAGAGGAGACCCCCTGCAGGAAGCTGGGGATGCTTGTCTAATGAGGTGAAGGAACAGCAAGACTGAGACCAATTTTTCAAATGGTTCTAACAGTCATAAAGGTGACATTTGACCCTCAGTTCTCAGATCCTGCAGCTACCTCTCCATCCTGAATTTGGCAAAAGAGGTGAAAATAATTGCCCCAAATCCAAAATTGACTAAAAAATTCCTGATGTACAGGTACAATCCATATGAGAGCAATGAGTCACATGGAGCAGGGAAACCCGGACACAAAGAAGCACCACAGCCTTGGGATAAACCCAGGTTTGATTCCTGCCTGCTGAACTTATCTGAGGATTAACCGCCCTGGGCTCAACTGACTTTATTGGAAAACAGCATCAGTCAAGGACTCTTGGTTGCAAATGACAAATCTTCCTTTAGCTAAATAGAAAAGGAACTGATTAAAGGGGATAAAGAGGTTCCCCTCAAATCTCTGAGAGGCTCCAGAGACAGGCGTTGTGAGTTGCAGTCAAATCAAAGCCTGCGTCCAAGCTCAAGCCTGCTCCTGGGATGCAGCAGCCACTGTCACCAGCATCCAGCTCAGATACTAGGGGCACAACCTCTGCTCACCCTCTCTAAGCCAGGTGCCTCTACTCACTGTGGCCAGCATGTACCCTGGGCAGGGCCTCCTCCATCGCTAGCTCCCACTGCGAGACTTCCCATGGGTTCTGACTGGAGGAGGTGAGGTCCCATGACTGGCCTACTGCAAGGCATGCTGAGAAAGAATGGCTTCTACCTTAGAACCTCTAATCTCACTAAGGAGACCAGAGATGTTGGTAACCCCAAAACACAGATGTTCCCCACGTTCTCTCCGAAGAGACGCCAGAGATGGAAAGACAACAGCCAGCTCTGCAGGTCAAACAGCAACACCTTTATTATCTCTCCAGTGGCTCCCCAAGTCTCCCCAAGCTCATGCTTCTCCTGCCCTCCCCCAAGCACCCTTTAAAGGAGGTGACAAAGGTGGCAGTGAAGGGGGAGGAGGAGAAACACCTTTATTGGAAGAATAGTGCAGACATGAGAAAGGGGCTGAGGGTGAGCAAGCACGGGAGGTGGGGGTCCCAGGAGCCGAAGCCTTTCTTGGACCCCTCCAGGGGGCAGCCCAGAGACAGCCTGGCATGCCCCAGGCCCAGGCTCGACAAGGCTACAGTGCCTCAGGTGGGAGGGAGGGAGGCAGGAGGCCTGGGGCTCCCGCGGAGAAGGGTGAGAAGCCACCTCCTTTCACCGATCCATGCTGTCATCCGTAGGGCTGGAGAAACAGGTCTGTAGCAGCTTTTCACAGAACTCCAGCTCCTCCTGCATGGCGGGGGAGAAGGGAGACCTGAGCAGAGGCCAGGCCCTGCCCAGCATGCATGGCAGCAGGGGCAGGTCCTCTCCACTCCTGCCCACCTGAGAAGCCACCCAGGCTTTGCTGACCACAGCTCAGATCCACGATTCGCTTTCTTTCCTCACTGGTTTCTGAACTACTGAGCTAGAACCTGGGATCTCCCCACACCGGTCGGTTCTCAGACCAGCACCCTTAGGCCGCTCTGACTCCCCAGAGTGATTGACCCCATCACTCCATACCCCAAATCCCTTCCCTAGATACAAACCCCAGACACCAGGAAAAAAGATAAAAGACCTCCATGGCAGATAAACTACAGATAAAAAATGAAAGAAAATAAGTTGGGGAGAAAGTGTTTGTGATTTATATGACAAAGTTCTGGCATACTTAATGCTTAAACACTTTTAAAAACTCAACATAGGGCTGAGATTGTGGCTCAGTGGCAGAGTGCTTGCCTCACATGTGTGAGGCACTGAGTTCAATCCTCAGCACCACATAAAAATAATAAATGAATGAATGAATGAATAAATAAATAAAAAGTATTGTGTCCATCTACAACTAAAAAAATATTTAAAATAAAATATCGAATGAAAACTCCACTCCCCAACTGGGTGCAGTGCCTTGCCCTTGTAGTCTCAGTGCCTTGGGAGGCTGAGGCAGGAGGATGGCAAGTTGGAGGCCAGCCTCAGTAACTTAGCAAGACCCTCAGTAACTCAG